AAAGGAAAAAAAAAGAATTCCCTTGGTAAGGAAAAGGATGTAGATGTCTACATCAACAGAGATAGTGAGTTTGTACTTCAAATATCCCCTTTGTTCAAAACACAGAGTATAACAGACAAAATATAAAAAGAGAACATTAAAATATGACTCAAATACAAAATAATATCTATGTGGAGAGAAATGGAAATGCATAACCAAGGAAGTTTAAAGCCACAAGCATGATGGGTTCTGATTTATTTTTCTGTATGTGTCAGGGAGAAGGAGTGGTGGCCAGGAACTTGTTCTTTCAAAGGAAAAGGGTCCAAAATGCTTTGTGCAAGACAGGGAGTAGAATCAGGCTCGATGCTTGAAGCCAGGGTCTAGGTGGTGCTCTCCTACTTGTGCAGAGATGCTGGAACCACAAGCAACTGTCTACTTGCTGACTAAGGCTATGGCTTAATGGAAGATGAGGCTGGAAGTGAAAATTCTAAACTGCATGAAGAAATCTATTATTAAGAAACTTAACAGCTGGAATAGAATTCATTCCACTCTGACAAAGACTGTAAGTATGCTAAAAGTATTCAAAGAGATAAACTAAGGCATCACTTTCATTTAAAATAAACCACTATGAAACTATGAATCGACAGAAAAGAGAAATGAAACAATCAGGTGGATGTGAAAAATAACCAAATAAAAATCCTGGAAATGAAAATACTGAATGAAATAAAAAATGTATTAAATAATAGATGGGATAAACTCGAGGCTAGACAGATGAGTAAATTAGTGTTCCCATACACTGCTGGAAGGAGTATAACATATGTTGACTGTGAAAAACAGTTTGCATTATCTACCGAAAGTGAAGACACACACAATCTATGGCCTAGAAATTCTACGCCTACAGAAAGGTATACACATTTACATCAGGAGACATATACAAAAATGTTCATAGCAGCATTCTTCATAATAGCCAAATACTGAAAACAACTCGAATGTCATCTACAGTTGAATAAATACTAAACTGTGATTTCATATGGCAATGAGAAGGGATAAAAAACAGCTATATTTAACACCATGGATGAATCTCACAAACAACGTTGAGTGAAAGAAGACAGATCAAGGAATATATAGTGTGACTCAGACAGGCATGCACGTATTCTCTTTCTCTCTCTTTTATATTTTTGACAAAGTATTAAAAACAGGCAAAACTAAGCTGCAGTGTTTAAGGTTGCACATTTAAGTGTTAGAGCTACAAAGAGAAGTAAGGAAGTGCTTACGATAAAAGTTAGGGTGGTGTTTATCTCAGGGGAGGGGAAGGGGGCTTGATTGGTGGGGGCACATAGGGGTTCCTGGGTGTTGGCAGTGTTCTATTTCCTAACCTGGGTACAAGTTATATGGGTCTTCTCCTTATAATAATTTGTCAAGCTGTACATTGATGTTTAATGCATTTTTACATATGTGTCTTATATTTCACAATACAAAAAGAAGGGTTTTTATGTTTTGTTCTGTTTGTTTTAAAGAGAGAATTTGGAAACGGAAGGTAGATACCAAGAAACTCACCAGGGATGCAGCACAGAGAAACAAAGAGATTTTAAAAAAACATAAAAGGGCAGTTAAAAGATATGGAGGATGGGTTGAAAGGTTCCAATATTCATCCAATAGCAATTCCAGAAGAGGATGGAGGTAATGGTAGAGGAGCAATATTTGAGGAGATAATTGCTGAGAATTTTCCAGATCTGAAGACAGACTTGGATCCAAGCACCTAACAGGATAAATAAAAATAAATCCAAACCCAGGCACATCATAGTAAAACTACAGAACATCAATGATAAAGAGATAATGTTAAATACTTCCAGACAATAAACCAGATTATCTACAAAGGAACCACATTTAGATTGACATCAGAGATCTCATCAGCATCAAAAATGGCCAGAAGGGATGTGAAAAAAATAACTATTAACCTGGGATTTTATACCCACCCCTGGAGTGAGGGCAAAATAAAAACAAACCTAAAAAGAATAGGCTTGCCATCCCACACTCTTACTTAAAGAACTACACAAGGATGTCCCTCAGCAAGAAAAAAATGTAGGTGGGGCTATAAAAGGTGTGAGATCAAAGAGATGATATTAGATACAGAAATGGATAAAATAAGTCAACAAAAATGATTTACTACCCACTGAAAAAAACAGTACTAATTATGGTATGTTGAAGAAAAAGGGGGAAATGAAAACTTTAAACAAAATAACATGATTGCTGGTGGAGGTGGTGAGGATAAAGTATTCAAGGTCTTTGTCATGGTTGGGAGATTAAAAATACTAAATAATCATACACACTCTTAGAAAAATATGTAGTTAAATAATATCTTAAAAATTTAAAAGTACCCACAGAAGACTCAAAATCACCAAAATAAAAAAAAAAATAGAAATGCATTTCATTGCTCCCAAGTCAGCAGAGGAAAAATGAAAGAAGACTAAAAGACTAAAGATGAGTAGCTGTAGTTTCAGGTTTTAAAGAGGGTGGAAAGTAAAATTTTAATACCTCTGACTTCAAGCCTAACAAGGATTTGTCAAATTGAAGACATTATTAAACATATTCTTTGTAAGCACTTAAGAAAAGGAATTAGTATGACCAAGTAGAATTAGCATAAATTTACTGAGAAAAAGTTTTACCAATCTAATATTATTATATTCCCCACCCTCTGTTTTTGGTTTGATTTAATTTTTTAAAATATTTTTAAAATGGTTGTTAATTGCAAAAATTTAAGAAAACATAGAAAAAATAAAAAACTACCTACACTGTTACTATGTTAACATATTTGTGTGTATGTGTGTTGTTGTTGCTGTTGCTGCTGCTGAAACTGCTACATTAGCAGATGAAGGGAGGGACATACTTCACATGCAGTGACAATAACACTGGACTTGGGAGACTGGAGCCCTGAATTTCCAGAGTTACAAGGAAAGAGATGGTACAGTGGGTGGCCTGGGCATCAAGGCTTTGATGTCCAATAACCTGGATCTGCTACCCACTGTTATCAAAAGTTATCTTGGCCACGTGACTCCAGTTTCACTTCTCTTATTTTAAATTCCTCGTGTGTAAAACGAGGGGATAGGAGAGTGTAACTGAGTATGTTGTCATATGATCTAATGTTCCTCTCTCAGCTTTAAAATTCTATGAATCTAAAAAAAATTACATGAATTGAAACAAAATCATAAAGCATATGGTTTTTAAATCTCCAGATGAGACAAAACTGGAAGGGTTACAGAGTAAAGAGTGAAAAAGAATTCAAATTCAGACCATATAGGAATAGGCTAAAAGCACTATCATGAAATTAAACAAAGGAAGAAACAAAGACCTGAATTTAGATTAACAAAAAATCTACACAAACACACAATGGAGTGGACTTGGTTTGACAATGATTCATTTGAAATAAGAGCTAGGTATTTTTTAGCCTATGATCCTGGGGCCAATAGTATGAAGGGGTTATTAGTCTAAATTAATGAACCCTCAACTAGAGTAGCAGAAGCAGTGCTTATGGTAGGAGAGGCACAGATCACACTTGATTGAGTACAAGCCAGATTATATGTGGAATGCTATATTCCATTCTGGAAGACAATGATGAATTGCAATGCACCTAACAAAGGGAGCTCAGAACTATAAAGTATCTAGACACCATGTGAGATCAGGGCACTGGGCCAGTTTACTCTGGAGGTGGAAGACCCAGAAAAACTTGATAACTGCCTCCCAGTGTTAGAATGTTCTTGACAGCCAACCTAGGTCCAATGCTAGAGGTGTTATTAAGAAGCAGTTTTGGGTGCTATCTTCAAACAGAAGTTGGAAGGTTATCAGTAAAGGAGACAAGAGAGGGCTTTTCATATTGGGAGGGAAGTTGAGCCCAGGTGACCCCTGTCCCTGAGGCCCTTTCCAGGTCTAAGGCACCTATAATTCTAAACTACTAATTGTTTGCTGTGTAAGCAAAAAAGAAAGCATCTTATTAATATTTATTAGTAGTATTATTATTATATATAACACTTATCAAGTGCATATTCTGTATGCCCAGTGTTGTGCTAAGCATTCTTCCTAGGAGGAAAACAAAGGAGAGGGAGGGGCTTGTAGGATTTTAAGTTCTGAGAAGTGTTAATATCTTTAATACACAGAACATGTTTTCACAAATGCTTCTATCCATAGAAAAGGGACAGGGAGAGAGATTACAGTGTTTATGGGGGGAATGAAATAAACTAATATTCTTCATGCTCTAAGTGTAATGAGTAATAAATGTTTTAACTATAACTAGAAGTCTCAAACTTGTGACTAAATTATTATCGGGCACTCCAGAAAATTACCCTCAGTAAGTTTTCAGATCAATGGTATACTTGTACATTACAAAGTAGCCATTTCAAAATTAATTGTAACAAATGTATCTGATCTGACAAAAAGGGCACTACTTTGATTTTATCAATAAATGTTTCTAATACAAACTTACCACTTCCTATAAACTTAGACTGACATATTCCTACTATAATTTACAAATATGTTTGAAACAAATGTTTCCAGTGATAAATAGCATAAATCTCCTCACTTTTTTTTCCACCTGAAAATGTTACACAAAATTATTTTTTACGGGGAGACAAGCGAAGAGAGTAGCTCTGCCTTTTTGCATGCTGGGGGACATTTTAGTTAAAAAAAAACACAGAATTTTCAAGATGAAAGAAATGTTAGACAGCAAGTCAATCCCTTCACTAAACTTTATAGAGATAAAAAGCTTATATTACAGAGTGGTCAAGTAATAGGCCCAAGGTGACACAATTAATTGGCATAAGAACGGAGGAACCAATATAATCAAGGTCTCCTGGGAGTCCTGGCTCCCAGCTCAGTCCTAGGTTCTTTCTACTCAAATACCAAGAACAAAATGGAATTTTTTGAGTCCTCTATATTGAGATTTATCAGAAAAGGTATTAGAAAACACTGTAATTTTCATTAGCTTTGAATGTTTGTCATATTAGCCACATTGATTGAAAAGAACTTACTTCCAATGCATAAAAAACCGGCTTGTCTCTGCCGAGTTTGTAAGCCACTGTGGTGAGAAGGCCATGTTCAGAAAATACACACTGTAGGAAAGAAAAAAAGATTTCAGTAGTGGAGAAAATGAAAAGATAGCATGAAAAAATTTTTTTTTCTTTTATTTCAGCATATTATGGGGTACAGATGTTTAGGTTACGTATGTTGCCCTTGGTCCCTCCCCCACAAGTCCGTGTTTCAAATATGTCCATCCTTCGGGTGGTGCGCATTGCACTCCTTGTGTATACAAATACCCGTCCCCTCCTCCCTCCTCCTCCCTCCCCCCCCCCATCCAATAGATGTTATTCTTATATGTGCATTTATGTGTTGATTAGTTAATACCAATTTGATGGTGAATACAAATGGATCCCGTTCTGCTGCTCTTGTGGTGCCCCACTTTGGATAATGGGCTCAAGTTTAATCCAGGAAAGTGTAAGAGGTGCTAGATCACTGTCGTTTCTTATGATTGAGTAATATTCCATTGTAAACATATACCATATTTTGATAATCCACTCATGGACTGACGGGCACTTGGGTTGTTTCCACATTCTTGCAATAGTGAATTGTGCTGCCATAAACATTCGGGTGCAGATGTCCTTATCGTAGAATGTTTTGTGCTCTTTTGGATAGATGCCTAATAGTGCTATTGCTGGATGGAATGGTATTTCTATTTTTAGCTCTCTGAGGTATCTCCAAATTCTTTTCCACAGAGGTTGCACTAATTTGCAGTCCCACCAGCAGTGTAAAAGTGTTCCTGTCTGTCCACATCCTCGCCAACATTTGTTGTTTTGTGTTTTTTTGATAGAGGCTAATCTCACCAGGGTTAGGTGATACCTCATTGTGGTTTTGATTTGCATTTCTCTAATGATTAGAGATGTTGAGCATTTTTTTATATGTTTGCTGGCCATTATTCTGTCTTCTTTTGAAAAGTTTCTGTTCATTTCACTTGCCCATTTGTTGATGGGGTTGTTTGATTTTTTCTTGTTGATTTTTTTGAGTTCTAAAATTTTTTAAAACTACAATGACATAGATACAAAATAATTCAACCAATAAATCAATTTAAAAAATAAGTCTTAACAGTCAAAATGATCAGAATTAAGAACCCACTTAAGCTGCACAAAAAATATATTCCTTATCCTAAATTAAATTTGCATCAAGAATCTAACAAAGTCCCACTATAGATTTCCCACCAACACAATTAAAAGCACACATATAAAATTCAAAGAACCTAAAACGGTTCTTACCAGAACCATTCAAATTTTTATTGAGTTCTCAATTAAACCCCGATAAAGACTAAGTAAAAGCTGGAGACTCAAAAGTAACTTAATAGCAAATTATGCTCAAGCATTATTTATATGAACTTGAAGGTTTTCATCAATGTTTTAATTTAAAAAAAAACCAACCTTACGGCCTGTATTACATAGTAAGAAACATCCTGTTCCATACCTATAGTTGGGGAGAGAATAATAATTTTATTTAAAGCAAATGATGAAACATTAATAATACAAATGATCTAAACTCACATATAGTTTAGTACAATATAAATCATTAAAGTTTTAGAGAAGTTCAGAAAGTTAACAATATCATACGTTCTTTATGGGATAATAATACTTTAAAGATCAATCTAGAATAAAATGTACTTAATGCAATCTTAATGGAAAAAATACAGGTATAATATTTTGCATTTATTCAGTCATAGCCCAGGGCTATGTTTATAAAATACCACTGAATTATAACAAATGCTATGTTCGGTCACAGTTGTGTTACTCTTAATCCATGTGGAGTGAAGCATCATGACTAACAGTCTTTCACCAATGCGGTTGGCCAGCTTAGCTCTATCATTAATACAGTCATAAACTGAGATACGTCAGTATCTTCTGGCAGGATGAGGAGGCTAGGTGCAGAGTCTGGGAGAGACTAGCTGGGAAGCTATAAGACTGGCATAAAGGGGAAGGTTATTTAAGGCTTACCTTTCCCGTTCTCTCTGCAGGATAGGGCATTACAACAGTGGTGGGATAATCAGAGCCAGAATGTAACGTGGCTGATAGGGAAGAACTGAATTTATTTTGTGGCAGCCTTATCAGCATAAACTTTGGACTTGGCCGGGTGCAGTGCCTCACGCCTGTAATCCTAGCACTCTGGGAGACCAAGGTAGGAGATCACTTGAGCTCAGGAGTTTGAGATCAGCCTGAGCAAGAGTGAGACCCCATCTCTACTAAAAAATTAGCCGGGTGTGGTGGCATGCACCTGTAGTCCCAGCTACTTGGGAGGCTGAGGCAGGAAGATCACTTCAGCCCGGGAGTCTGAGGTTGCTGTGAGCTAGGCTGATGCCATGGCGCTCTAGCCCGGGCGACAGAGCAAGACTCTGTCTCAATAAAATAAAATAAAACTTTGGACACTGCAACAAGTCTGGCACTTGGACATTAATGGGTAGTTTTGACTTGTGCCAGGCAGACAAGCAGCCCAAACTGATACCAGTAAGGGTCACAGAGAAATAGTTTTAAACTGAGTTGGGATAACAAGGTTGCTATGGTCACCCTTGGCCCTGCTGGAGCTCGGGATTCCCTCCTCCCAGGCCTTGCTGTTGTGCTCTGCGCCACCAGGGTTCTAACTGTGCTGGTGACATTTTAGCAGGTGGGAGAAGGGAGAGTGCTCTGTCCAGGGGCTGATGGAAGAATCCCAGCAGAAGCTACTACCAGTCAGCATTAAGTCAACAGATCCTATTGGCTGCATTTCTCTTGTGCAACAAACACAAACCAAGGACAATTGTTTTCTGATGAACATTTTTCCAGGCACCATTATTTTCAGTAAGGATTAGTGCAAGATATTCTATCTCTTCTCACCCAAATGTATTCTTGGCCTGCTTGAAGAACAGGTGACATATTCAGGGAGTATGGGACCAATGAATATCTAAGTTTGTAAAGACATCTGTCAAATAACACTAGGTACAGGTTACAAACTAAAACATATAAATCACTATACCTTTTTACTGCCACACACTGAGAAAACTATATATTTCAAGTTAATCTCTTTTAATAAATATTCATAAAATGGAAGTTAATTATCTGTTTCATGATTTTTAATGGAGAAATCTGTACCCTTAGCACCCATATAAACATTCCTATACTGAATGGCTATGTACAAGTCCTAAAGTACAAAACTAATGGGAAGGCTCATGGCACTTAATAAAAGTGAAATCTTAAACTAGTATACTTAATAAGCAATTAATGAGTATTATCAATGTATGGAGAGATTTCTTTGCCATATTTAGGCCATAGCTTTCAAAACAGAACACGGGCAATTATTTTCGTCTTAAATTTTATTGTTCTTTCTTGCCAGTCATCAAGCATATATGGGGAGCTATCAGCATGTATGTGGTCCATCTAGTCTTCCTTAACACTATACTGTGTTCAAATATCCCAGAGAGATGTCTGACTTTTCTGACCTCTACAAAGATAAAGGTTGCTCAGTGTCCTTCATGACTATCAGATCAAGACTGAGCAGCGTAGCGGGGTGTGTCAAAGATGACACACAAGGGCAAGGCAAGTGGCCCTAGGCAAAACTGTATCAGAGGTCTAAGACTTTCTTTATTATACAGTCAGTGCCTCTGGGGAGATGAGGCAGCTAATTTAGGTGCTCTTTCAGATAAATGAAATTTAATGTTTAAATAATCCATGTTCATTCTTGAAAAATTGGAAAATATGGCTAAACTAAAAGAAAAATTAAAATCATCCATAATTTCTTTCCCTACTCTGAATGCTTTCCATTGAATTCTGAGCTGAGTGTCATTTTCTCCCTGCTGAGATTAACTAAATTCTCAATCCCAATCTCTCTAACCTTTTAGGACTTTTTCTACCCATCACTTATCTCCCATTTACTTTAAAACTTTTATCTGTTCTCTGCTCAGACTCCAAAGAAATATTCTCTGGTCTTATCATAACTTAAAAACGAACTTCCCAAACCACTGTATGATCCTGTTAATCTCAAAATTATCTACTTCTCTCACCATTCCTGGAGGGTTACATTTTTGCAAAGCACATTTTTGCAAAGTCTTACTGTCTCTATTTTCTACCTACCCACATCTCTTTTGAACATTTGCAACCTGGCTTCCATCCATCTTGAGTATTCTACTAAAATTTCATTCTTAGAGGTCACCAAATGAAGACCTAATTTCTATGTACAATGGTCTGCTCTTGGTTCTCAGCCTCCATGACTTCTTTGTAGTATTTTGCCCTGATGGCCATGCCTCCCTCTTAAACATTTCTATCTGGATTTCCACACTAATGAATAATTTCATTGTGTTTTTCTGAATTCTCCGTCTCGGTGTCTCCTTCTTCTAAATATTTCCTCTACCTGTATACTTTTTCTTGGTAATGTCATCTACTCCTGTTGCTTCAAAATCACCTCTGTTGAGGGGAAATCCAAAATCTCTACTTTATACTGAACTTATTCTACATTTCCATATGTGTGCAATAAATAGCCTGCCAGTACCACAAACATGTCCCAAACAGAAATTCTTCTACTTGGACCCATTCCTTACTTTGGCTAAGCTTAACTAGGGCACTGTGTCCAGGTACGTAGACTGCATACCTACTTCCTCTCCTTTGCCCCTCTGCAGTGCCATGCATGTCCACCCACAGCCTCCCTCTCTGTCCCCATTCTTCTGAGTCCGTGTCCTCATTACTGGGACCCTATAATGGCTTCTTCTGTGGCCTCTTTGCCTCTGGTCTTTCCTCCTTTTGACTGAGGACTGCCATATTATTAACTGACAACTCCAGTCATCTCTGGACACCAGCTCATAAACCTTCAGAAATTTTCCACTGCCTATCAAGAAAAAACTCCTCAGCCTGATATGTAGGGCTTAAAAACATGACCCTAGCCTTATTTGCTACCACTTCCCTATCCTAATGTTCTCTACATTCTCTAAACAAACTCTTCAATTTCCCCATTTGTATCTTTGTTCAAAGTTTCTTGCACCCTCCAATATTGCTCATTCCTCAAAGCACCTCACTACTAACATAATCTCTTGTGATTTTTCTTCCCTCCCTTTGAAACTCAACTGTATTACTACGAAGTTTCTTATGGCATATAAGTTCTGATTTATATATGATTAATTGTATATTTGTGTACTTTCCTCTTAGGGAGAGAAATATGAGATCAAAGATCTTGTAATTTGCTATTTCCTTCCTCCAAACAGCAGTAGCTGCAGAGGTACTCAAACAAGCACTCTCTAACTTAAATCCATCGTTTAATGACTTGGCTGATAATGTTAAGGGGGAGGAGAGTAGAAAGAGGAGAAAAAGCAGGCTATATTATTGGATATCTACCATGTGCCATACACAGTTGTCTCTCAGTATCTGCAGCGGATTGGTGCCAGGCATTCCCCGTCCCCACAAATACCAAAATCTGAGGATACTCAAGTTCCTTATATAAAATGGTATAGCATTTGCATGTAACCTAACACACCCTCCCATACACTTTAAATCATTTCTAGATTACATATAATACCTAATACAATGTAAATGCTACATAAATTGTTGTTATACAGTATTTTTATGTGTATTACTTTTTATTATTGTATTGTTATTTTTATTGTTTTTTTTTTATCCAAATATTTTTCAATTCGCAGTTAGTTGAATCTGTGGGTGTGGAACCCATGGACAAGTACTAGGTACTTGACATATAGAGATAGTACCTAATTTACTAGCATTGGTATTTCTGGCAGAGGAGGAAAGAAGGAGAAAAATAACCTAGTTTTCTCTTTTATTTCTCTTGACTCCTGATTCAGCTGCCTGAAACTCATATTCAAAGAATGTTTCCAGACTTGTGCTACGACTCAAGTGCTCCTGATCATAACCTCAGATTACCATTGATCTACAAAGAATTTTCTATTCTCCTTCCCCCCAAAACTCTCGCACATATAAATGTCACACTCTTGCATGAGAACTGCTGACCCTGCTAGACTAGAAATATTAGATATCCCATTATTCACAAAAAAGAACTTAACCACCAAAGATAAAATTGATGAGAGAATTAGGAAATCCTTAAGAAAAGAACAATTAAATGTAGAGTCTCTTGCCAGTTCTATGGAGATTGTTCCCACACAGGGGCCGGCAGGGAGCAGTAAAATACACAGCTTAAGAGCCCACCCCGGCTGAGGAATGAGATGGATCTGAATGCAACTATCACATCTCCCACTTACTAGCTGTGTGCCGTTGCATAAAGTAGTTATCTTCTCTAATTCTCAGTTTCCTGATCTATAAAATAGCAATAATAAGATCTGCATGTGGATGAAATGATATGTTTAAAGTACATGGAACGTTAGATGTAACACAATAGCCATTGACTGAGCTTGTGTTGTAATTATTGGTATTATTAATATTTCAGCTTTTGAGGCATATTTGTTTCTGCTCATCAATACATGTAATTGGTAGGTAGTTTTTTTTTTTCAGTGTTTAAAAGAATACCTTCAAATAAGTGTACTTAATGGTGTAACAACAGAAAGAAAGAGTGCCAGACTCAGAAGGCATGGGCTTGAGATCTGGCTCTGCCTTTAAATCAAGGCTATGACCTTAGGCAAATACCTAACCTCTTTGAACATCCATTTTCTCATCCTAAAGTGTGAGTCACCTTCTTATTATTCTTAGATATGGGGCTTGTTCCAAACTCTACATCTGTGAGTAGTCAGAAGATGAGATTAGGAGAAAAATACACCAAATCTCTACTTCTATTATTCTTTCTGCTTCTTGTCAAAGGAGAAACTTCAGTTAATGAGAAAGCGTAGTGCCAGGGAAACAATCTTGAAAATCCTACAAACATATGACTTTATAGTTAGTGAGAAAGACTTGGGCAGGATCAATACGATGAAAATTGTAGTTTATATTAAGGTTCTTCTTCACCTCTTACCAGCTCTCCCCTCACCCCACCAATCTCCCCCAAAAAGGCAAGAATATTTTGAACCAAAATTTAGTTTCTGGGATGAAAAAGGTACTGAATTTTATAAATTAAGGTCTTCACAAGCTTTATTGGTGTGTTTACATCTGGCGTAATATATTTTATTTGAAGGAAATGAAAAACAAATGGTAAAAAATTCACATATCCATATTGGAACTATTAAGCTATTG